GCGGCCACGCCAGAGCCCAGGGCCTACCTCCACCGCCCGCAGCACGTCTCGGAACACCGAGCGCTGCTTCCTTTTGTCCACTTTGGCTCGGTGCTTGTTCCCATCTGTGGCCAAAGCCCTAAGCATCTGAGTCAGAGACTCCATGTCTTCATAGAAGAAGTCCTGGTGAGGAAGAAACAATTTGGTTCAGTTTGTGGTTGGGTTTCCCAGCTCCAATCTCTTCTACAGCCAACAAAATGAGTCCACCTTGGAAAACACCCAGCAGCGCTGCGCAGAGCACCACAAACCTCTGAGCTGCTTGGGATCTGGGCACACATGTTTATCATGCAAAAATTTAATCCAGAAATCCTGACTGCAAGATGACACGCTACCACGAGACAATGACCTCTTCCCTTCTAAGCACATCCAGATGCACTCACCAAGTACTTGCTGTGCCCCAGTGTAGTCACGCCATGACCGGGGTTTCAGAGAAGGTCAGTGCGTCCGACACACGTGTGTCAATACAGCTTTGATTCTTTGTCTCCTCAGCCCTCAAAGCGCACACTCTCAGAACTCCAAACACTCTAATTCCAAGAGTGCAAGCTGTCAGCGATGCTGTTTAAAGCACCTAATTTCTGTTGGGTTGTCAGAAAAGTCATGACATATTTTTTCTATGTTTTTCATTGCAAAAATGCAGCATGACTTTTCCAACAACCCAATAATTTACTGGCCATATTTCAAATGAGCAATAAAGCATTTACATTGTGTGCACAACTCAGGTGATTACACTGCTTAAAATATTTTAATCCCTCTGGAGGAAGTCGCATTACTATCTGCTATTACCTTGAGGTGACTGTGGAATTCCTTGTAACAGTTCAAGTGGTTACACTTTCGTGAAGTCTCTGTGTTTGGGGTGTTTTTATTTCCTAACCACATTTTACAACCACATTAAAAACTAAAAGATGATTCAAAGTTATTCAGTTGCCCCAAACTAGAGCAGACACTTATAGATGCCAGAAAGCAAGCAACCGCCCGTTCTGGTTATTAAGCCTGGCTAACTTTTTGGCTTTTTTTTTTTACATTAGTGGAAACATTCACTTAACTTATTCTATTAAAATAAGCAGCTCTTATTCTGGGCATTCTTCAAATTGTATATATAGTAGAATCACAAAAAGTATAAGTGAAATGAAATGAAAAAAATTATTATACTGGTGGAAAATGAGCTTAAAATCAACACAAGATGTATTCTAACTTTTAAGCACATAAATATTTTATTGTTAATATTGTAGAGATTATGTATTATCAATTGTTCTAAATAACGTTTTCTTTAAATGCTCCAATCTTGTTCAGATTTGCTTCTAGAAAAGCAATTACCAAAGCTGATGAGGTAGTAAAACATCAAAGTTATGCTGATCTCTGTATTTAAATTCCAATAAATCTGATTCTATTGTAACAAGATGGGATCAATTTTACTTGTAGAAACCAGTACATTCAGGCACTGGCAGTTTCCTATCATTCCACTGGCTACTTATTTTTCTATAGTATTATCAAAAAAATGTATGCAAGATGTAAAAACACATATGGAAGAACAAACCAAAAATTAAGAAAACTATGCATTAAGCTTTATTTGTTCTAAGAAGTGGGAACCACCACCAGTGGGTCTCCCAGGGGACATGTGACTAGAGGCATTTTTGGCTGTCACACCTAAGAGAGGGGGTGCTCTAACCACCCCAGTGCCCAGGGCAGTGCCACCTTCCAGCAACAACCAACCACCCAGTCCCTGCATCAGCAGTGCTGAGGGCGAGAAATCGCCTGAGCTCAGTCACCAATAAAACTCCACCCAGTCCAAAGTCTGAATCACTGAGGTCGATACAGCATTAACTTGGAAAAATAAATGTTAAATATTGTAGGGAAATGTCTCCATGAAGTGCTTGGGGCTTAAATAGAAAATGTAAAATAGAACAAAAATAGTCCACAAATAGCATCCAAAAACCAATATATTAGAGTTTAGGATAACTATACAGACAAACTGTACACTCAGGAACAAATAAAAACTAGGCTTGGAGGTACAAAGAAATAAATACCCTTAACTCATCAATAATAAGAACACAGCATGATCCTCATCACACACAGGTGTACTGTCTGTCTGTCTGTCTATCACACACAGGTGTATGTGTGTCTATCTCTCCTCCAGTACATTCCCGTCAGGTCAGGTGAGGGGTGGACCGGGGAGAATCGGCAATGTCTGATGATACTAGAATTCGGTGTATGTTCCTGAGTCAGCACATCATACGGCCCCAAGGTCTGTAATTCTGCCCACTAATTGGTCATAGTCTTCTTTGCATTTACCCTCGAGAGCTCTGAAAAGGCCACTACCAGACCACGGCCCGAGGGTAGCAGTCAGTTCAATGAGCAATCGTAGTGACCGCTGTCACTTACACTGCACGATGGCGAGTTCCAACGACCTGTGAAGTGGCTGCTACCACTGTGTCCCTTGTAAAGACAAGGAGGCTGAGGCAGAGAAGCTGCCCCACATCACCCAGCTAGTGAGGGGACAGACTTGAACCTGGGCAGGCAGCCAGGCTCCAGCGTGCATCCCATAGAGCTGGTTACATGGCAAACACGCACAGGGAACGAAGCTCCCACAAAGGAGCGCCAACTCCTCTGCCAACTCTGAGCAAGCAGCTATTACTGACCTTTCACCAACTCCTTCTTTAAACCCAACCTAAAAGTCAGCCCTTCCGAAGTCTTTTTCTAAGTCCCCCAGGCAGAACTCAGCACACTGCTCGATTCCCTGGTAAATAATATCACAAAATAATTCTGTTAGCAAAAGACTGAATAACTCAATGCCACGTTTGCTATAAGGACCCCGATTTAAATCAACCTATGTGTTCATCAACACGGTTTAATTTTCTGAACTCCCTNGAGGCTCACTAAGAAAGCGAGAGGGAACATCTGAGTTTAAGGCCTCAGAGCTGGAACAATTTTACCAGAACACAATTTCTGACGTGGAACCACAGGAGGGGGCCTAAGTGAAACAGAAGTAAAGGAAACTGCAGCCAACAGAGCACAGCGTTTTCCAAGTGGAGAGAGAAGACACCCAGGCTGGTGACAGGCCCTGGGACGCCCCATTCCTTCCTGAGTCGTGAACATGGAAAGGAAAGGCTGACCACCACAGGGACAGGGAAAGGAGGTGACGGAACTTCACGGCGATCGCCTCCTCACATCTCCCTGGCCTCTCCTCTCAGCAGACGCAGTAGCCTATGTAGAAATGAACTCCAGGCTTTGTGGACGTGCCACTCACTGCTTGTGGCTCGGGCAAGTAACCGAACCTCTGTGGGTCTGTTCCTTTGCCTGGGAAACGGGGCTCTCCACACCTAAACCACATGGGGCTATTAGAGGTGTAAGACGGTCTAGGAAGCAGAGACAGTGCCCGGTCTGCTACTGCAGCCAAAAGCCAAACAAGCAGAACAGGAGGGTCCTATTTTTTCAGAAAACGCTGAGACACCAGGCAAGGACTCCGTGAACTCGCCTCCATCCTTACCTAGTCCTCTCTCCAAAACCAGATCGCCTGCCCAATTTGAGGCCCATCGTTCCTTTAAGCACCTCACGCTCCCAATCCTTCAGTCTATTTCCAGGGCGCCTTCTCCCACCTGCTCTCGAGCACCTGAAACGTAACTCCAAAGCCTCCTGTAACCTGGTGACCACCTTGCTTCCGCTTCCCATTACGGCCACATTCTCGAAACTAGGAAGACACCCCATCTCCACTTCATCGCTCCCCATTCACTCCAAGCTGGCTTCTCTGCCATCACGCTGCTAAGCTGCCCCTACAAAGGTCACCAATGACCTCCTGACAAATCCAACTGACCCTTTTCATTCTCTCTCACGTGACCCATCTGCAGCATCTGGGCCTGCTGAAAGGCAGCACAGCACGGGGGGTGCGGGGGGGGGGGCAATTCCAGCTCTGCCACTTACTGGGCTTTGGCTATTCCTCTGGGCCCCATTCTTCCTTCCAAAGTGACTCTATTGCTGAAGAGCGACAATGGGCTCACCTAAGAAAACTACATGTCAACATGCCTAATATATTGAATGCTTGCAGATTTGAAGAAGACGTGACCTTCAAGAAGAGTTTCTGGATGAAAAGAAATGTGGCAGCAGCAACCACACCTCAAACAGGTAATTCTCCTCTGTTGCAGCTGAGCAACTTTCATTTCAAAGACCCGTCACTAACGTAGGGTCTGAGAGAAAACAGACAAGAATGCTTAGCAAGGCTCTGAGACAGGCCCTTCCGTGGCGGAGGCACTGAGGCAGGGCTGGAGGGACAGGGGACCCAGTCACGGAACTGAGAGCCTGAGATGAAGAGATGGTGGGTAAGGCGTGGGAGGGAGGCCAACAGAGGGCTTCCACTTTCAGCAGTGATTGAAGGGGAGAACAAGAGGCCAGTGGAGCTGGTGTGCATTGCAATTTCGCATGTCTGTCTCAGGAGAAGCAGTCTGTGCTGTAGCTGGCCGGGCTGAGGGGCTTAGAAACGGTCCTGTCCGGTCCTGCTGACCTTTAAAATCCATTAACCCAAAGAGGAGGCATCAAGACAGAACATCTGAAATCAGGTCTAATTCAGAAAACATAGGACACACGTCTTCTTTTTATAGTAACTCATTTTCTTCTCTAACTATAACTGTTCCTGTATTTGGCTCCTCTGACTACAGGACCCAAACATAGGAACAGTTTACAGATACTCAAGAAAATGTCTGCTTATTTCGAGGATACTACCACACCCATCAGAAGACTAATAATATCAATTCTTAATCTGTCTGCTCAAGTTAGGAATTTTTTGTTTTGTAGATTATAAAATACAGAGTAAATATAAAATATTACTATAATGCGGTTAGTCAGCATTAACCAAAAATCAGGCCCCAGAGGATCTTTATGCTAATTTAAGCCCTA